GAGTCGTGAAAAGACACGACATAAAAAACCTACGTGGAAAAAGAAAAAAAGAAAAAAAAAAAATTTTTTTTCATACCGGTGCTGTGAAAAAGGTTTCGTCATTATTTATAAAAAGAATTCGAATTTCGTGTTTATGTTAATAATAATAATGATAATAATAATTTCAGTCGTTCTGGAACTCGTGTCGATACATAGTAAAAAATAAATTGTCCAGATAAATACAAGAAAAACTCCAGCGCGAGTTTTGCAAAGTGAAAACTCAGGTAAAATCCTGGAAGTGAAGTAATTGCGACGTAAATATATCGAGCATGTTGAGAAAAATATCATTATTATCATCGCAGCCATCGTAATTTATTGTATAAATCATTATTATTATTATTATTTGATTATAATTTAAATTAAATCATCAAAAAATGGATCGACTTCACCGTAATCGCTAATTATGGATTCAAGTTTATCTTTTCTTCTTATTTCTTCTTCTTCCTGTTCTTTGGCTAACATTTTTTGCCTTTCCAATTCTCTCATTTTTTCCATATAAGCCGTTCTTTCTATGGTTAATTGTTCAACTTGTTTTTCGTATTCCTTTTTATTTTTTTCCGACCATCTCCATTTGACTAAATAATGACTTAAATATTGTATTGGATCCGTGGGTCTTTTACTGGCAATCTCTAAAAGGGCATAGGTCAAAGGTGTACCCAAAACGGATTTTAAATAATCGCTGTCCAATGATATTTTTTCACTGCCCATCGTTTCTTCTTCTTCATCTTTTTCTTCTTCCTCTTCCTCTTCTTCTTCTTCTTCGATGTATTCTTCTTCTTCGTAAGTTCCTCTTGTTAAAAATTGTCCTTCACCGGCCTCTTCACAAATCCATTCTCCCTCACCGTATTCTTCTTCTTCTTCTGCTCCTTCACCTTCGGGAGGGCAAAAATCTTTTGGCAAAGATCTAATGGATCCTTCTGTTGATTTATCATCTTCTCCTCGATGTTCGTGTCGGCTCCTAGATCTTTCTCCCAATCTTTCTTTTTCTTCTTCTTCTTCTTCTTCTCCTTCTTCCTCTTCTTCTTTTTCTCCTTCTTCTTCCTTGCTTAATTTTCGTATTTCATTAGAATTATCTGCCATTTTAAATTCTATACGGTAAAAAAAGGTACACGCACACACACAAAAAAAAAAAAAATTTAGTTTTAAAAAAAAATAATAAACACACTTATCGATATTTGTTTACTACATCCGCCATTTTAGAAACAATGATCGTGGCAGTAGTCGTTAAAATCCATTTCATTCCATAAATCTTTTTAAATTTATAGAAATAAATTTTTTTTTCTTCCAGGTTCTACTTTTTCCAGAGGAAGGATGGGCAAGAAGTGCATCATCATCTTATTGGACACTAACACCATTTTGGTGGAGCAAAAGTAGATGCAAAATAGTAGAAGTAGCCGGTACGAGAAGGTAATAAAGAAATTTTCTTTTTAGTAGAAATTTCAATAATAATAATAATAATAATAATAATAATAATAATTAGAAAACTGAAAATTAATTAAAAAAGGAAAAAATTTTTTTTTATTATTAAAAAACTTTTATTTAATGCCCCTAAGGAAACAACAAGAGAATAATTTCAAGGATTTTTAACACAACACTCGTTTCCTCCCCCCTCCCCCCACAAAAAAAGAAAATTGAAAAAAAAAATGTCAAAAACAAAAATGTCGTCTGTTTATTTGAATCTCACACTTTTTTTTTTACTACATTTGATTCAAATATAAATGAACCATCAATCCTTTTGTTTTCTTTTATATGTAAACTGATTTTATAAAATTACAAATTCACCCCTGACTTTCCTCCCCCATTTTTTTTTTTTTTTTGTTCTTTCGAGTTCTTTAAAGTTATCATAAAATCCTTTTTCATTTTCTTTTACCGTTTGAATAAAATCTAAATTTTTATATAGGAAAAAGGAAGGATTGAAAAGAATGATAAATATAAAATAAAAATGAAAGAAAAAAAAAAAAGAAAAAAAAGGGAGAAAAAGGGAGAGGAAAGGTAAGAGACGTGAAGGGGTGAAAACGACTACGACGACGATGATGATGATGATGGCATGTAAAAATATGCAAACTAGAAAGAAATGGAATTCAAAACTCTAATAAAAGAACCCAAAAGAAGGATATAGAAAGGGATGAAGGGATTGCCAAAGGGCGGGTAGAGAAAAACCTTGATAACGACGAACGAACTACTCTCTGCCTTTATAACTCGAAAACTTTAAATTGATGTAAATTATAAGTAAAATTGTTTGAACGGGTAATAAATAAAAAAAAAAAAAAAGAAAAAGTTTAAAAAGTTAAAAATGGGTTTTTGCCCCCATCCTATCCCCTACTCCCTTCCCCTTCGCAAAAAAAAATGATAATAAGGTTTTATTTAAAAATATATAAGCAAGTAATGACGTCATATATATATTCGTACATATCATCCTTTGTTTAATGCGATTTCTTAACGATTGAAATTTCATTCGACAATTATTATTATTATTATTATTATTATTATTATTATTATTATTATTATTATTATTATTTATAAAAAATTAAACTTTTCATCGTCTGCTTTAATTGTCATGTGAGAGCATAAAAAAAAAATTAAAAATAAAAATGGCGTCGGTTTTATATAATCTCGGTGGTGGTGGTGATTTTAAATTCTTAAAATTTAAACTTAATGCGTAGAGGATGGGGAGGGTGAAAGAAGTAAAAACGAGGATCAAAATCAAAAATGACAAACTTTTCTCTCTCTCTCTCTCACTCTCCCTTTTTCTCTCTCTCTTTAACACCCCTAATACCGCAATGAATTTTACGAATCTAAATTTTTCCCATTACATAACTCCCAACAGCAATTTTAAAATTATAACAATTATATTACGATTTTTGAAAAACCCGAAAAGCTCGAAGCGAAAACACCCGACTAATCAATGCTGCTGCTCCTGCTCCTGCTGCTGTTGTTATTCGTACTCGAAATGATGATGATGATAATGATGATAATAAAACTTTTTCGATTCGTTTTTATTAATTAATAAACAGCGTTGGGGGGAAAGGAAAAAGAAAAAAAAAATTTTTCACTCTCCCTTCTTTTTTTTTTTTTTTTATTTGATTTTTTTCGTTGCTGTTCCTGTTGTCGGTTTTGAATTTGTTATTTTCGCCTATAGAAAATTTTTTTAGCGAGATTCGTAAATTGAATTTCATCTTTTTACGAAAAAAACATCCAATTTTATTATTATTATTATTAATATAAAAAAGTTTTCAGGTATTTCAAAAGGAGTATAGAAAAAAAAAACGTGTGACTTGAATTTTTGGAAGAAAAGGTTTGTAACTAAAGAATAAATAATACAAACTAATACAAATTCAAAACACGATCGATAAATTCCCCCCCGAACTCCCCCCAGTCGCCTCACCTCGCCCTTACCCCCCCCAACTTATAAATACGACTTTAATGCCGAATCGAAAAATAATTTTTTTTTTTTTTCCTCAAATATATAAAATTATTATTATTTTTTTCGCCTCGGAATCGTTATTATCATCATCATCACCATTCAATTCGATCGGAAATTATTTTTTTTAACTTGTAAATCGCATAAGACAAAATAATAATAATAATAAACTGGGGGGAGAGAGAGAGAAGAAGAGAGCGGGGGGATATATATAAAAAATTTTAACTCATGTGTGTGTGTGTAAAACGTCATATTTGATATTACGTCATATCAAAAATAAATTTTTTTTTTTAAGTAGGAGGAGGAAGAGAAGTGTAAAAGAGAGGAAAGCGGGGAGGGCGGGGGGACGCGTTTAAAAAAAAAATGAAAAGTCTGACGTTTCGAAAAAAAAAAAAAATTTTCCACATCTACGATTTTCATTTTAACACAACGTCGTAAAGTCAAATTTCTATTTTTTTTTTTTTTTTTTTTTTTTGATTTACTGCTGACACTATACGTAGGAAGTGAAAAAAAAAAATAAAAACAAATTCTATTGACACTTTTGGTTTCAAATCTAATTTTTCACTTAAAATCAATTAACTAAAATGTAAAAACAAACAAACAAACAAACAAACTTGAAAACATGATTTATATTTTTCTTAATGAAATCGAAAAAAAAAAAAAAAGACATGGAAGGAGAACAAAAGGTAAAGCGAAGAAAGAAAGAAAGAAAGAAAACCTAAAAATTACTAAATTTAATTTTATTATCAACGACTTAAATTAAATTTAACTTTTACGA